TAATTTACCATTTTCTGCTCTGGAGACTTTTGACCTGAAAATTCTTTAATCTTAATCCTTAATTTTGTTTTTACTTTCTCCTCATTTACTTTTTACATAATTTACATGAGTATTTTAATTAGTTAAAATTTTTAATTTTTAATTTTTATTGAAAGGAAAAAAATTTAAAATTTTTTTTATTATATAATCTATTATTAAATATAAAAATAATAATAACAATAATCCTTTCCGCCATCAGACCGCAATCTATTGTCGTACGGACATATCAACCCCACAATAATAAGGACATCCTCTGCAATTACCAAATTGCCCATCTAAATCTAAAACTTCTTAAAAATCCCAAACCGTTAGTGGATTCGTTACTTTCCCTCCTTATCATCTATCAAGCACTGATTGCGGCAAAATTTTAGAGGCGTAAAGATCAACGGTCAAGATTTCATCAACAGCGAAATTTATTCATATTCTCTTTAATAATATTTTTTTTTTTTCTGTTTGTTTCCAAAGAAAATAGTAGGGTGGGAAAGTGGGTTGTATAAATATAGGAGAGATTCCAATTCCACCTCAAGCTGGTTTTTAGCTTGCTCCCCTCCTCTAAGAATAACCACTTCCCAAAGATATACCCATCTTTAAAAACCCACTTTTTGTGTCAAATTCTTTGGTTTGAATTCAATCTCTGAAGAATAACTTCCCCTCAACCCCACCCAAACATGTAAACTCTTGGTCTTTTGTTTCATTTTTTTTTTTTCAAGCTTATCCATGAGCTTTTTGGGGTTCCTAATTGGAGAAGAGGATTGAATCCAACCCAGATTTTTCTTCTTTTCTGAATCCATCTTAAGCTTGGATAATGGCTGTGGAGAATAAAGGTTGGTTTTTTAAGGCTTCCTTTACATTCTAGTAAATTTTTGTTATTTGGGTTTATTTTCCTGCCCTGTTTGGTTGCTGGGAAACATGGGTGTTGATTGTTAGAGGAAAAAGTTTGTTCTTTTCAGGGATTGAAAAAAGAGGTTTGGGGTCTTAGTGCTGAAATTGTTATAAATTTTTTATTTTGTTATGTTTTGCAGTGACCAGAGTTGAGAACCATGAAAACCCAGAAAGGGATTCAAATATGGGTGAGAATAGAAATGAATTTAGTTCAGATGAACCATCACCGAGAGGGGTGTTGGAGGTTCCAGTCCTAGGCGGGGACTCTGATAACAGCAGCAGCAGCAGTAGTAGCGGTTCATCTTCTCCTGGTAAACAGGCGAGTAATAGAATAGGAATCAAGGAGAATACTGGGTTGCAATGGAAAAATATGATTGATACCATTAAGAAGAAGTCTGTTAGGAGGTTCTCAGTCATCCCCCTGCTAACCAGCTACGAGATTTCGAGGAAGAACCTGAGGAGGAAATTGGCTCGGTTTCAAGGTTCTGAAGAAGAGACTGATTCTGATGGCATTCCCGTGCCCAAACCTTCATGGAAGAATTTCAGTTACTCTGAGCTCGCCACTGCTACAGATAATTTCAGCTCAGGTAAGCAATTAATGTTTCTTTTGTTTTTCTTAATCATGCTTTGAAAGTGTAAGTGCAGACATTAATTTCATTTATCAGCTCATATGAATAATTATGATTGATCAATTGAAAGAGTGGACGGTAATTTTTCAGTGTGAATTACTGCAAGAAAGGTCGTTTAACCTTCGGACATAGGATAGAAAAAATACATTTTAAGTCTATATATATGTTAGATGTACTATTTTAAAATATTGTTGTGTCTATTGGAACTTGGAAAATTGAATTTTCAGATTCCTAGTTTTGACGGAAGGGACTTGTTTGTTCCCCCCCATGCGTATCAGATGGTTCGACTTTTAATACTCTTTGTTTGAAAGTGGTTCCTTCACCTTGAAAAGGGGCTGCTACGGTTCTCTGTTTGGTGTTTTCTTGCACACATTTCTAATATTCTCAACAATATAGTCTGTAAAAAAATGAGGAAAACTGTGAAAGTGTGGATTTTTCCTGCATATAGTCAGGTACTACATCTGAAACCTGGTCAATTGATGTGGATGAATCAGACGTCCCTTTATTTTTAAAAATAAAGCAGGGACTGCTTTTTTGTCTTATTGAGAGGATCCATCGATATTGTGTTTCTGATTGGCGTGGTCTGTCTGCTACCTTTAATTCCCAGTTAAAGGATTTTTGGTAATTGAGGCTTCCTTTAGGAGCACAGCATTTTTTCTCGCAATATTGTATCTAAAAATATAAATTTATTATAAATAATTAATTTTAATTAATATTTTATTTATTTTTGTGATAAAAAAGAAAAATAATAATAATAATAATAATTACAGCACAACGCTCCCAATTGAAACCTTATAGTTTTGCCAAGTTGTTCTAAGTCTTTTAATAATTCTGGTTCCTGTCAATTTTGGGAGGAGAAATTTTTGACTAAATAAAATTCATGAAAGTGATGGGTTCGCATGCTTGACCCCATCAGCTAGCACGGTAGCATATGTGAATATTGAGTTCTTTAGCTGGTATTCTGTCAACTGTCAAGTGTGAAACGTAGGACACTTGTAAATTATTAGCTGAACTCAAACTGTATCTCTTGATATACGTGAGTTATAATGTTAATTATGCATCCAAAAATTTTGCAGAGAACTTGCTTGGGAAGGGGGGTCACGCAGAAGTTTACAAAGGGTGCTTATCTGATGGTAAAGTTGTAGCAGTGAAGAAGCTCATGAAGAATGAGGTGGGAGAAGAGACTAGAAACAGTAATTTCTTGTCAGAGCTTGGGATTATTGCTCATATAAATCATCGAAATGCTGCTCGCTTAATCGGGTTCAGCATTGATGGGGGTTTGCACCTTGTTCTCCAGTTCTCTCCACATGGGAGCCTTTCTTCTCTGCTTTTCGGTGCTGTGTCTATTTCTCTTATTTGTTTTCATCTATTTATTGGATTATGTATGCTCTAACTTGTTTTTAGCAAACTCAATTACAACCAAATTCTTAAGAAAACTGTTTTTATGGCCATAATTGTTCTAAACCTCTAGTTTAGTAAGTTAATAAACCAGTGGTTATGTATCCATTCATCTGACAAGGAGATGGACTGCAGGTTCAGAACATTGTCTGGACTGGAAAACAAGATTTAAGGTGGCTGTAGGCGTAGCAGATGGATTGCAATATCTTCATCATGAGTGCCATAGGCGCATTATACACAGAGACATCAAAGCCTCTAACATATTGCTCACTGAAGACTATGAAGCTCAGGTACTTCCCATGCAGATCCTTCCCCTTATGCCATATTTCTTTTGTCGAATTACTAAGTTCTTTTTTCTTCTACTAATTACAGATTTCTGATTTTGGACTGGCAAAGTGGCTTCCAGAAAATTGGACTAACCATGTTGTCCATCCCATTGAGGGTACATTTGGGTTAGTTTTGCTGACCTTGGTGACTTGTTATTAGCATTGGTGGTTGCATAAAATTCACACATTTTTTCCCAATTGTTATTTAAAATGATATCCAGGTATTTGGCTCCAGAATATTTTATGCATGGCATTGTCAATGAGAAGACTGATGTTTTTGCATTTGGAGTCCTTTTACTGGAACTCATCACTGGTCGTCGGGCAGTTGATTCCTACAGACAAAGCCTTGTGATATGGGTATGATCTGCTGATCCATACAATTGTTCAGAGATGAATCTCCAACTGTATTGTACCTTCTAGGACAATAGAGTATCATGTTTTAGAAAAATATCAACCACCTTTCCTCTTCTAATCTTTTTACAGGCAAAACCACTGCTGGAGTCAAATAATGTGAAGGAATTGGTTGATCCTAGGCTAGGAGATGAATATGATCCTACTGAACTTAAACGAGCTATGTTGACAGCTTTAATGTGCATCAATCACTTAGCAAGCAAGCGTCCCAACATGCAACAGGTTTGAATTTTCATTATCATTTCTGTTTTCCCTTTACAATCTTGTTTTCCTCTTACAAATCTAACCCAAAAAAGAAACCTGCATCTTCTTTTCCTGGAAATGTAGGTTGTCCAGCTGCTGAAAGGTGAGGATGGGCCTCTAGAGTTGCAGCAAAAGTCATGCACAGGGAGGGCAGTAATCTTGGATGGTTTAGACATGCAAGATTACACCTGCAGTTCCAGCTACCTCAAAGACCTCAACCGCCACATGCAACTAGTTATGGAGTAATGTCCTGTTTACTCTCTGCTGCTGCTTCTTGTTATTGTCTTTGCCAAAGTTTTTTTTTGAAAAAAAAAGACACCAAAAACACAAAAAGAAAAAGAGAAGGGTTGTGGCTCTGCAGTGTTTGTGAAAAAATAGATCGTGTATAAAATGGCTAGTCTTTTTCCCCCAAGTTTTCAGTATCTTTGTTACTTTTGTTTTCTGTAAGGGTTTTTTTTTGTTATGAATCTATGGAGAACAGCAAGCGACAAGGAAGGCTCTCACTCTTTCTCAGTCACTAAGAAAGTGCTATTTTCTCTAGAAAATGAAGGGAATAGAACTTGAATGTTTTTGGTCATTGTATGTGATGAAGCTTACGTTATCTAAAGGGATAAATGAGAAACAAGACATCTTATTTAAAATGAATTTTTAAAAAAAATTGTTTATATGTTTTTAATAAATCTTTCTTACATTATATTTTAATTTATTAAATAATATTTAAATCTTTTTATATAATTTCTTATTTTTTATCGTGAGGCCATAACAATTTTTACAACCCCTTAATTTATTGAAAAAAAAACTTTATTACACAATTTAAATTATATTATATTAAAAAAATATTTAAATTATATAATATTAATTATTAAATAAAAATTAAATCCAAACCAAACTTTCGATTCAAGTGGTTCGGCTTAAGTTTTTAAAATGTTTGAGTTTGTTAGTTGAAATTTTGAATCTTATCAATGCCTTGAAAAAATTCTTCTCTCAAATTATAAATTTTATTAAAAAAAAAATTAAATCCTGTCTTAATTTATTAATTTTTGTTTCATAATTTAAAATAATTTTATAATTCAGATAATAAAATAAAATTCTATTTTATGAAGGAGAAAAATGAAGTTCAATTTTCTTTATTGCAGCTGCAACCATTTTTCTTTCATTTATAAGCACCAAAAATAAGTTTACGTTCGGACAAAATTTTTCCCACTTCTCTTCCTTTTTCCTTCAAACCAAACAGATCATAAATTAATACGTGTTTTCAGTTTGATCTGCAACCACTAGACAGGCTTTATTTTATTCAGTTTCACGGAGCGACGGACCTTCAATTCAAAGGCCCAACTTAATAACAGAGATGGGGCCTTAGAGATGGAAATTTTCATCAATCCAAGACGGTTATGAACTTACGATCGACCACCGGGAATTAGCGATGATGGAAATGATTGTCCAATTCGCTATTGTGGTGCTTGCCATCGCGTCCTTTTTTGCGGTACGCTACCTTCCGAAAAAGCTTTTTACTAGTCGCCGGACAAATCACCGACCCAGCAATCAATCCCGCCGGCACTTAGCTCAGGCCACCCAACTACTGGCGCGAGCTAGATCCACTTCTGACAGAAACAAATCTGAGGCACTCGCTAAAACTGCCCTAACCGAAGCCGAAACAGCGCTCTCCCTTTTTCCGAAAGATCCGGCGCCGTACATACTGAAATCCCTAGCGCTCGATCTCCTGGGCCACAAGAGATCCGCATTGAGATCGCTCGATTTGGCACTAGCGTCACCGCGCGTGAGGTCGATCCAGGGGAGAGAGCGCGTGGAGGCGCTGGTGAGGAGAGCCGAGTTGAAATTGGCGGTGAATAGGAAACGGCGAGTTGACTCTGCCGTTGCGGATTTGGAAGAGGCCGTTAGGGTGAGTGAAGGCGGCGGCGGCGGCGGCGGCTGCGGCGGCGTCGACGCCAGGGCTTTCTGTGTGTTGGGCGAGTGCTACGAGTTCAAGGGAATGAAGGAGGAAGCTAGGAGAGCCTTCCAAGAGGCCCTGAAAATGGACCCAGAATGTGGCGTGGCTCGTCGAGGATTGGACCGGTTGGGCTGACCATGAGTCCTGGCCTTTAATGGGATTTTGTTGTCCTGGTTGGTAGCCCTTGAATTGGAGAAGTTGGGCTATCTGTCTCCCTTTGGGCTTTAATGCTGTGAAGGGTACAAGGCTAGGAATATCTCAGGGATTAGGCCCATTAGGAACTGCAAAATATCAGCTGGAAATGTACTTTTGAGAGCATTGTAATTTATTTCTTTATATATGACATGAGTGTTCGATTTTTTTTTTTTAATTTAATTAACTAATTTCATAAATACCTACACATAGGTAAGTATATATTAAAACTATTTCCATCTCAATGAGGTTGGAGGAAAAGATCAGAAGCCTATACTTTCAGCATGTTCCACTAGAAAATATAGAAATTGGTTAAATTGCTCATTGTTAAAACATACAAAATTCCCACCTACCTATTTAAAGATAACTTTACAGGATCAAGCTTTCCTACATATTCAACTAGAACTTTTAACCTGAGACTAAAAGGACCTGCCTTATCCTACTCTTGCTCAGGTTAGAGGTAGAATACCGGGTGGTGATGAGGATCAGATGCAGTTCAGCAATGTTGCGCCTAAACAAGGACTGGCTGCTACAGTTAGCAATTGGTCATTCTAGTAAGACTGGTGGGACCATATGAAAAACTCAGCCGGCTGTGGCATTACAGGCATCGAAGTTGGCACAGATGGGGTGCAGCTTGGGGAGTCAGAAATGCCAATGTTAGTGGCTTGAAGGTGGTGGAAGAGGTTCTGATGGTAGATTGCTGTGGGATCAAAGGGGATGCCACAGGGGATGCCAGAAACAGGCTGTAGAGCAGAGAAACTAATGTTGTTGCTACCAGCGCTATACTGGGATTGCTGCTCAAGGTTTAGGATTGGTTTTTGTTCCATTTCAAGGGAGAGTTTAAGGCGCTTGGCTGCTCCACCAATGGGAAGAGCACTCTTGGCTATGGCTTCAACATCATATCGGCTCATCTCAAAGTTGGTCACTGCATTCATGCCCCTAAACTTTATGGCTGCAATGTCATAAGCCTCGGCTGCCTCTTCTTCAGTAGCTGTCAGCATGTCGATAATAAAATGATTAGCAGTTCTTATTGCTTGGTACAGTGGGGGAGACAAAATTATAGTTGGTAAGTATTTTCATAGCATTGTATCTAAAGACGGTATTCATACCAAATGTCCCCAGGTAAAGGTCTTTGTTTCCAGCAACACGGCCTATCCTTGCTTGCCATCGGCCTTGTTGATGATGCCTGGAAAATTCAAGTTGAAAGAACTCAGCTTCAGTGATTAAAAACCACAGGATTTTGACAAAAACAGAAAGGCCAATGCCAGGATTTAACTTGGAACATATCAACATAAATAATTTGGGATTATTGGAAACAAGTAACGAGAAATGTTCTAACCTTGTCACTCCTCTGTATATTGAGGCACCCCTTGAAAACCCGCTACTCTTCCTATCAATCGGAAAGAATAAAAGCTTAACAAAATGTAACTGAACTTTTTAAGCATAGCAAATGGTACGATTTCTGCATACCTCCTGAGGGATGCAATGAACTCCTGCTTGGTTACATGTTTCATCTCCTCCAATTCCTTTGTGTAATTTGAAATCTGATACAAGACAAAATAAACCTCTCTCAGCTAAACACTTCATGCCCTATGCTACGTAGCTTCTCATGCAGAAACAGAACAATCAATGAACTGAGTAGTTTATTACACAAGTGGGGTGTCTTAGTGTGAATATATTACCGGAAAGTTGGTGGTCGCAGTAGGGCCCCAATACTTTAAAGCTGCCAAATCATAAGACCTAGCTGCCTTTTCTTCCTTGTCATATCCGCCTAAAAAGTTCACAAAATTTCACCTTTGATCAATTAAATTAATCAATCCTCAATACAATAATTATAAAATTTAAACAGCTAGGAAACAAATACGGGTAACCAAACTGTGGATTATTACTCACCCAAGTAGACTGTAGAAGAGAAGCAGACATTGAACGACAACCGGACATCCAAAGGCAGACATTTCGTACAAAAAAGTTAAGATTTCAACATCAGATCATACACACAAGTCAAAATTCTCTGCCTGAAATAATATCTCTAAGCAAAACAAAAGGAAGATTATGTGAATATAGGATGCGATGATTGCCAATTAAAAGCACAGATAACGGTTCTAATTAAATCATTCATTAAAACAAAGACAAGTAAAAGGTGATGATTTATTTTATGTCCTCAGATGACTTTAGTAGTACTGAATTGCCCAAAATTGATGAACTCATCTCCCTTTACCTAACTTCAGCCAGCTCCAGAATCTAAGTTATTCAAAATGCAAACCAATCATTAAAGTCAATATTATTGAGATTAACTTTACGAAATTTTTCATAAGCTTTTTCATTCAGGAGAAACAGCCTTTACTCCTTAAGGTACATATTTTTTGTGATTTACACCGTAGCCCTATGCACCACACATCATCAAACTTCATTAGCAACACCACCAAGAAGTTGGGGCAATGATAGTGGATGGAAGCACTTTCTCTTTAATCAATTTTCCAAATGGGTGCTCTGGTCAAACCTAAGCCACTCTCTCTCCAGAGGCTGAAGCCTGAAAGTAAAAGCTAAAGCTAAAGCCTTTGGCTCAGAAAAACTCAGATTGTTCAGACTTCCAGACTCACTGAAGTGAACAAGGACTGAAGAGGGAGGTGGAGGGTGGGTCGTGTCAAACAAGAACATGGCACAGAACCGGAGCCAGGCCAGGAGAGGTGAGAGGTGGAAAAGATCACAATGGGAACAAAATGGCGGCACCCCTGATCAAATCAATCAGAGAAATGAAAGAAAATAAACAGAGGTCTTCAGAAAATAAAAGTACTACCCGGACAAACACATGGACCATCAGTCTCTCAATCATTTCATCACAAAGAAAGAAAGCTACGATGCCCTATGCCACTGACCCACACCCCATTAATTAATGCCTTACAATGCATGCAAGTTTCTTTTCAGATGTCACATTCTATATCCATGGCTTCCTCTTCACAAACTTACGAAACAGGTAACAACATAAGATATATGTCCACATCCATGATTGTGTATGTATAAATAACATTAAAATGGTATTCAACTAGATAAAGTATAGAATGGGAGAGAAAGATAAAAGATGAAGGACCTTGACGCCCTTTTCTTGCTTGACCCTCTCTCCTACAGCTGTTATCCCACAGATGCGCTTCATATCTACCCGTCCACCTGTGTCTGCATCAATCAATTAGAAAAAAGAAAAAAAAAAAAGAAAAAACTCAGAACAGAAAACAGGAATACCCATTTCAAATTCATCATTACATTAACTAAAGCTCCATAATCAAAGGGAAAAACCCCTGAAATCAACAAAAACCAACGTCACCCAATAATGAAAACTAAGAAGAATTAAAGAAATACAACTTTTGATGAGATGATTACCTTGTAACTCCTCTGTATATTGAAGTTCTTTGACCAAAAGTATCTGCAATTTTCTTAGAGGAATCGGAGTCGACGGAAACAATGGCTTTACTATTGTTGTCATTATTACTGGTCTTGTTGGTATCACTGCTCTGATTAACTCGGAGAGATAGAGCTCCGGTGGGGCAATTAGAGAACCCCAAATCAGTGCCTGATGACTCCATTGAATGACCGACGAACTCAGCACCGGTTAACTGAGTCCTACCCATTGACGACGAGTCATCGACTTCTGATCCGGAGTTGGTAGAAAACGCTTGAAACCCAGCAATCGCCTTGAGATCTTGCTGCTCGTTGAAGTAGGCGGACCCATGATCGTAGATTTGGGTGAGGGAGGAATCTTGGGTTTCTGTTTGACTATCCGAATACCGAACGATTGATGAGGAATCGCCGAGGAAGTCTTCAAGCTTTGGCGCCGGTTGGGTTTGGGTTTGAGGGTCGATGAAGAAGGAAGAATCGGCGATTGTATGGGGTTGATGCATTCCTTTGCGTTGGATCTCTTCCTCATCCGAAAAGAAAATTTGAGGTTTTGCTTGTGTGCATCCTGCACCAAAATGTAACAAAAAAAAATATATACATATCATGAGCATTAAAAAAAGCAAAACACCCCTACTAAATCAATAAATCGATCGAACTCAAGCATGAAGCCACAGCAATAGCTGTTTGGATACCGAGAAACTGAGAAAAAAAAAAAGTGCCTGCATTCTATAGACATCAAAGAAGTTCGTTAACTATTTTCTTTTTCAGTTTTGAATACTTGCTACAGTAACTGCACGGAAAAGGAGTTTTGATCAATTCGCGGCTCCATTCTTTTCTATCCATTCGCGGCTCCATTCTTTTCTATCCATTTCTTTTCCCGACGACCAAACAAAAGAAAAGAAAATTTCCCGTGATCTTTCCATTTTCTGCTTGCTAAAAAGAACTCAAACAACCTATCATTAAGTTCTTTTCCCGCATTTGCTCGGTAATCAAACATAAGTAATGGAAAGAGAGAGAAATATAAAAGATGGATTACCATTAGCATAGAGGTTATCGATCAAGTAATGAGATGAAGGCGCAGAGGAGTCCTCATAGGACACAAACTGAGACTCAGAAGATGAGCGCAACATCTCCATTGGAGACAGTGAAAACGAGAGCCAATTGGTAGCCGGCGCCATTTAATATCACACGCTACTTTATCCCCTTTTTCACCTCTTCTTGTCTTCGAAATCTGTTCATCAACATCAAGAAAAACCGAAAAACCCAAAATAAATCAAATGTCAGACTAAACTAACACCAAAAAATTTTCTCAGGAAACAAACAAACTAGATCCCATTTTCCTCAAATAACCCAAAAAACCGATGGTTGCTACTAGCTAGCATATATTTTACCTTAACCGTTACTCAAAACTGCTCATCCATTCAGGAACTAAGCTAATCTCGAAGCTTAAACAAAACCCACCATTAAAGCAGAAATGAAGGTTGGAAAGAGGATGGATCGATGAAGATTACAGAAAAAAAAAACAATGCATGCAAAAACCCAGGTGGGATTTCAGTGAAGAAGAAGCTTGGAAAGTGAAAGAAAATGGAGAAGTGAAAACAAGTGATGGGTTATAATGGGAGAGCAGAGGGATCTTGGGGAAGAAAGAGAGAGATTTTTTTTTTTTTTAATTATATAGAATGGAAATAGAGAGGGGAGGTGTGACTTTTGGCACAGAGGAGAAGAAAATGTGTCTGAAACTGAAACAACGTCGCGGAAGATCCGGGCGGGCGAAGCGGAGGGGAGAGAGGGGATGAAATTTGTTAGGGCTTTAATTTTAATTAACTGGGTTTTAGTAAATATACACTCTTTTTATGGTTTTACGGAAATGACCTTTGAATATTATTTAAAAAAAAAATTTAATCTGAGTTTCACACACTTGTACCACATGCAGCTTTCCACGTCGTGTTTGGCTCTCATTGGCGGTTTGGGTGGGTTGGTTATCAAACCGGAGTTGCTGCCGG